AAGGATTCGCAGGACACATTTCGTGTCATTTCGACGGCATTCTTCTTCGAAAGTCCTTGGTGAAGTCCGTAGAAGAGAATAACGGGATGAACATTATCTCGTTTCTACAAGAAGCTGTTTCAGCGCAAACGCTTTTCAAGGTGACACTCAAAGACAAAACCGTGTCGTCCCTGGATGAGTTGCTGGCCATGAAGTTCAAACCAAGCGAGGTCACGGCCGAGTTGGGCCAGTACGTGGACACCTTGACCGCCGTCCCCAACTCTATTCCTGCTGCAATGGTATTCCTAGGAGCGGATCTGAAGCGGATCATTCAACGTCTACGAGAAGAATCTCCTGCAAACACAAAAGCAGAGACTCGTCATCTTCGACAGTACTCTGACTGGAATGGCTGTGGACAATTGCACTTCCTCCCGCGGGGTGCTTGCGCCGCTGAGGCCAGTTCAGACTTCCTGCTGCACATCGAGCTCCCGGAGTCCTCCTGGTGCATGGGTGTCAAGGTCCTTCCCAACGACGCCATCCTACTCATGCGTGGTGGTCGCGTGTACGAAGGATCCATGCCCCTATTGTTGGAGGTGTTGGAAGCCTTATATGGCTGTAAGGAGACATTCTGCTTCGGTGTGTCGTCCGAAACAACAGAGGTCGACGATTGTGATTTATGTTTTCTCGATCTACTCGCCGGATCCTCCGCTCCATCGTCATCCAGGAAAAGACCGGCGTTCGTCCTGCAGGATGAGAATGCAAAAAACGAAGGCGAGGTAGAAGTGGGCACGGAACTTCGCCAGCTCCTACAACAGGAAGTGGCCGCATCCATTGACGCGGTGAAGGGCAAAACTGGGGCGAACTTTCCGCCAACGACGTGTCCCTGTTGTCCCTGGCGACAATTCGAACGCCGCCAACATCTGCTACGACATCTCGAGAACCAACACACACACGCGAAGCGGTTCAGCGCATCCGGTACAAAGCAACTGCGGATTGCCGCGGCCTTATATGATCATGATCGTCTACATGGTCAGAATCCGGAACCCGCCTACTTGGCCAGATCCAGTGCTCTACTTCGCAGGACAGTAAAGGGTGTAATGCCCCGTGACGTGAATGCCATCGATAAGAAAATTCGGTGCGTATGGCACGCAGATGGTCCAGAATTCGTGCGGCTACAGAACGTGCGGAAGGCCACAGGCTTGCGCAGAGTTGGCAACATGTACTACGATCGTGGTTTCGCTGAAGCTTTTCTGCATGCAGCATCTCTCAGTCACGGCTCCCTCCATAAAGTCCAGACACATTTTTTACGTACTTGTCTACGCGATAATGGACAGCTGGCGTCCATGATTCCTCGTGGCAACAATGGGTTTTGGGTGAACGTGATGGAGGATCTGATGACATCGCCTTTGTTGGATTCCTACACAGCACACCTCCTGGAGCAGTGCCGGGATGCTAAAGAATTCCGGTATCTCAGCATCGATGCCACATTCAAAATCAACTTGAAGATAGTGGGACAGGCGAGTTTCCATTCATCGGCGGCCACACGCTCTGGCGCCATCATCCCGGAGGAAGATGCGGCTTATCGGACTCTGACGTGTCGAGGTCGCACAGGCGCGACTTTGGCCATGTGTGGTGTTCGGTCAGAGAAGGCTCGAGTCATTGCCAATGCCCTAGAGACGGAACTGACCGAAGCACAACGGCAGCAGGTGTTACATATTGCCTCAGATGCTCCGTCACAGGAAATGCTGCAAACCTTGCAGGAGATATTTCCAAGTCTAGCAAGTCTTGCCCTCGATGCCATGCACATCGTCATGGTCTATGATCAGAACATGAACAATCGCCGCAGCGCAGGGGGAAAATGGCTGGCGGTGATCATGAATAAGTTCCGTCGCCGTCATCCGACGCGTACTCAAGCGTCTTGGGGTGCATTCTACACAGGGGCCAGGCCAGGACCAGATGCACAGGATGTTCGGTGCATGAGGGAACGCCTCCAGGACCCAGACATGCCGGAGGATGCTGCTATGCGGGTTCTGGAAGCGCTTGATCCGGATGTGCCATGGCTGACGGAAATCGACTTCTTGGAATCTCTCCTGGCCCATGTCTCCTTCTTCCATGATGAGCTCCAAAAAGTCAGTTACTCCGGCATCTCTCTGCAGCGCCTCATAGTCAACATCGGCACCAGCAGCAAGTTTCAATGGCTCCTCAATGACACCAGGTATCGCCATGCTGTGGATGCCCGCGAACTAGCCTTATTGCCTAG